TATATATATTATATATATATATAGAGAGAGAGAGAGGAGAGAGAGAGAAAGAGAGAGATGGAAACTTGATACCAAGTTCTTGCATTGAACTTGGTAGAAAGGTGGCCAAATCAGCCCCCTACATCACAATTTTTCTCCATATCTTCTATATATATATATATATATATATATATATATATATATAGTCGTATATATATTTCACTTGTATTTGGTAGCAAGAAAACACCCTAAAGTTTTTTAAAATTTATACTTACATACCCCCACTTATTTTTTTGGCATTTATACACCCTAAAGTTATTAAAACTTGCACTTAAATACCCTCAAGTTTTTAACTGTAGCACTTAAATACCCTAATATTTTTAAAACTTACAGTTAAATACTTCCAAATTTGCAAAACTAAAGGTATTTATGTGAGTTTTAAAAACTTTCAGTTATTCAAATGCTAGTTGTAAAAACTTTAGGGTATTTAAGTGCCGTCAAAATAATCAAGGGTATATAAATATAAGTTTAAAAAACTTTAGAATATTTCTTTACTATCAAATACAAATTGGGGTATACAAGTGAATATTAGGTAAAAAAAATAGGGTATATAAGTGCTATTTAGCCAAAATAATAATAATAAATTCAGAGCATGTTCAGTTTGACCATTTAAGTACCAATTTATCCCTGGTACCTACTCTCACTCTCTCATGCAGCAAGTAAATCTGTAACCACGCAAATGATAGTATGGTAAAATTCATAGCAAACTGTAACCGAAGCAGTTTCCTCTCAAACCAGAACATACATTAACAGGAAAAAAAAAAGGAGAGGACATGAAAATGTCTGCAAAAAAAAAACTAAAAAGTTACTAGGAAGAGATTGGGCCGAGACCAGCAGAGACTGGGCTAGGTGGGCTCATAAGCGGCGGTGCTGACGTGGCAGTGGCGGGGATGGGCCGTGAAGACGTGGGCCTTCCATTGCTGTTGTCGCCCTCGTGCGGCCCATCGTCGTGCATCGTCGTGGTGGCGGAGGACCCCAAAGCCGATGATGAGTCCGGTCACCGCCAGGAGGGAGACCACAAATAAGAAGATCTTGGTTGCTTTCCCAACATAACAAAACATTTCTCTCTCCAGAGTTGCTCTGAACTTCTCTCTGTGAAATTCTCTCTCTCTCTCTCTCCCTCTCTCTCTCTAGAATTCTCTCTCTGGGGATCTTCAGAGGGTGACTGTGGTTTTTGAGGTCACGTGAACGCACGTGATGTAAAGGTGAATATAAAGGGCGTTGGCGACAATGACTGTCGGGGGTTGGTGACGGTTCGGGTACGGTAATTCCATGCCTGACCCTGTAAACTTCCGTTACCTTCTGTTAAAAAATAGGGAAAAATGTGTTGGGCCCCAAAAACAGAAACTTCATGTGCTGCAGCCCCTCCTAGTTTCTCCCATGTGGTTCAGCCCCTTGAAGTGTGACATTTTGTGCTGCAGCCCCTTTTCAACAATTATTACATGCCAACTAAGCTAAAATTCCTAAAATATCCTTATCCCCTCTCCTCAATCCCTCAGACCCAGCACTCATCTTCTCTCTCTCTCCTCTCTCTTCTTCTCTCTCTCTCCTCTCTCTCTAAAACCAATGGCTTTCTCAAGCTCGTCGTCCTGGCCCTTGCCCTCCTCGCCGTCGTCGCCTCCGCCCAGGCCCCAAGGCTCCCCTCGAGTTGGCCGCCGCCTCCCCTTCCCTCCTCCGCCCGTCCTCGTCGCCGTAGATCGTCGCCGCTCCCCGCCTCGCCCTCGACTACGCCCACGGCGTGTTAATTCTAACCATGCTGCTGCTGCTGCTTCAATGTTATCATCGGCCGAATATGAAAAGAAAACCATGAGGACACAATAGATATCTAAAATTACTATCGAAAAATTAACTGAGTATTCTTCTGGAGGACAGCGGAATTCTTTCCTTAGTGACCATTGATTGAGAAAGTTAAGCTTTGTTTTTATATGATATGATCCGAGGGAATGGAATTGAGATCACTAGAGTCTGTGTGAAGCATGAATATCATGTCCGAGGATTAGTAAGTTGCACGCCACAACTGGCAAGCTGCCATTGTTCAAAGGGTATGCCCCTGCCGTTTCAACTATCCTTTGTATAATGTGGCTCCCTTCTTTTTTTTTTCTGTCCCTGCTGCATTGAATTACCACTATGGCAGCAATATAAGTCGATCAATATGTATGCTGTATGCACATATTACACAAAATGATTTGCACTAGAGATAAGGCTGAAGTTGCTGGGCAAGTTCAGTTAAATCTTCAAGGCTATCCAAAAATGTAGTGTGTTAGTTCTAATCTACACAGTGTTAGTTCTATTCTGTAGCGTGTTAGTTCTAATCTATACAGTGTTAGTTCTATTCTGTAGCGTGTTAGTTCTAATCTGCACAGTGTTAGTTCTATTCTATACCATGTTAGTTCTAATTTATACCACGTTAGTTCTATTTTATACCGCGTTAGTTCTAATTTATACCAAGTTAGTTCTAATTTATACCACGTTAGTTCTATTTTATACCGCGTTAGTTCTAATTTTAACCATATTAGTTCTAATTTATAACAAGTTAGTTCTAATTTATAACAAATTAGTTCTAATTTTAACCACGTTAATTCTAATTTATACCACGTTAGTTCTAATTTATACCAAGTTAGTTCTAATTTATACAATGTTAGTTCTAATTTATACCAAGTTAGTTCTATTTTGTACCACGTTAGTTCTAATATTAACCATATTAGTTCTAATTTATAACAAGTTAGTTCTAATTTTAACCACGCTAATTCTAATTTATACCACGTTAGTTCTAATTTATACCAAGTTAGTTCTAATTTATACAATGTTAGTTCTATTTTATACCAAGTTAGTTCTAATTTTATACGTTAATTCTGAATTCATACCACAAATGCTCTCATTCTCTACCCACTGATTTTTTTGTCTTTCATGTTCCATGATCACATACTAATTTGGATTTAGCATTTTTATTTTATATGCTTTTCAGAATTAGTGCAACATTATACCAAAAACCGACGCCCAAATCCTGCTGTATCACGGTTGTTCCTCTCTTTGCTCCTTGCAAATCCTTGTTGTGTTGTTAACGACGTCGACACGATCACTGAAATCACCATATTCTTTCGATAATTAATTCACTAATCAATGCATAATGCGTATTTGGGAGTTTGCAACATCTGCAGAAAGCTTTCTTGTGCAATTTGGGAGTTTGCAACATATGCAAAATTAGAACTAACTTGGTATAAAATAGAACTAACATTATATAAATTAGAACTAACTTGGTATAAATTAGAACTAACGTGGTATAAATTAGAATTAACGTGGTTAAAATTAGAACTAATTTGTTATAAATTAGAACTAACTTGTTATAAATTAGAACTAATATGGTTAAAATTAGAACTAACATGGTATAAAATAGAACTAACTTGGTATAAATTAGAACTAACGCAGTATAAAATAGAACTAACGTGGTATAAATTAGAACTAACTTGGTATAAATTAGAACTAATGTGGTATAAAATAGAACTAACGTGGTATAAATTAGAACTAACGCGGTATAAAATAGAACTAACGTGGTATAAATTAGAACTAACATGGTATAAAATAGAACTAATACTGTGCAGATTAGAACTAACACGCTACAGAATAGAACTAACACTGTGTAGATTAGAACTAACACGCTACAGAATAGAACTAATACGCTACAGAATAGAACTAACACTGTGTAGATTAGAACTAACACGCTACATAATAGAACTAACACTGTGTAGATTAGAACTAACACGCTACAGAGTTAGTTCTATTTTATACCACGTTAGTTCTATTTTATATCAAGTTAGTTCTATTTTATACTAAGTTAGTTTTATGTTATAACAAGTTAGTTCTAATTTTAACCCCATTAGCTCTAATTTTAACCACTCTCCATGCGCCTCTCTCATTTGGGTACCGTGGGCTCCAACCAAATGCTTCAACAGATTGTTACTTTGCTTTGAAAGCATGGAATGCACAAAACGCAGGAGCTGCTGCGGTCCTAGTTGCTAACAGTATCGACGAACCTCTACTAACCATGGACACCCCTGAAGAAAGCAAAGATGAAGGCTACATTGAAAAAATCATCATTCCATCAGCTCTAGTCAACCAAGCTTTTGGTGAAGCCCTCAAAAAAGCCATAGAAAAGGTAACTGAAGAAGTTATAGTCAAATTAGACTGGAGAGAATCAATGCCTCACCCTGATGAAATAGTGGAATACGAGTTTTGGACCAACAGTAATGATGAATGTGGTATTCGATGCGATGAACAAATGAACTTTGTTAAAAACTTTAAAGGTCATGCTCAAGTTCTTGAAAAAACCGGTTTCACTCAGTTCACTCCTCATTATGGCAGTTTATTTTATTGTTGCTGGAATCTATGCATTTTATTTTCTGACTTGTATGGATTAGTAGTCGAGGGCGAGGCGGGGATCGGCGACGATCTACGGCGACGAGGACGGGCGGAGGAGGGGAGGGGAGGCGGCGGCCAACTCGAGGGGAGCCTTGGGGCCTGGGCGGAGGCGAGGAGGGCGAGGGCCAGGACGACGAGCTTGAGAAAGCCATTGGTTTTAGAGAGAGAGGAGAGAGAGAGAAGAAGAGAGAGAGAAGAAGATGAGTGCTGGGTCTGAGGGATTGAGGAGAGAGGATAAGAATATTTTAGGGATTTTAACTTAGTTGGCATGTAATAATTGTTGAAAAGGGGCTGCAGCACAAAATGTCACACTTCAAGGGGCTGAACCACATTGGGGAAACTAGGAGGGGCTGCAGCACATGAAGTTTCTGTTTTTGGGGCCCCAACACATTTTTCCCTAAAAAATATAAGTCACTTTCTGCAAATATTGTTTGCAATCAATTGACTGTACCGTGATTTTATTTTGCAAAAGTTCATTTTACAGCTCCGGTTGCAAAAAGACCTGTATTTATAGCGAAATAAACAGTCACCTCTAAATAATAAATTTTCATTTACACTGTAATTGCAATTACATCTCATCTTAAAAGAGAGAGAACAATATCATGAAATTTGCTCACCAGAACTACAATTTTTAGAAAAATGCATGCCTGAGCTAACAGTATAAAATTAATCCAAAGAAGAAAAAAAATGGGATTCAGATTCCTTCCACTTCAATTGAAGATAAATTTTATCATAATTGTTGATAATTGTCATAGCTTGACTCATTAATAGACATCTCTTGTCAAGATTGACACAGTGAAAGATTTTTTATTTTTTTTTCAATCATGCCAGGGCTATTTCTTAGAAATTCTAATTCTACCAAAAATTATTAAAGGGCTAGAATTTCTTAAAAAGAGATAGTAGCGTCTATTCTATGAAGTTAAAGAAAGCATCCTTTGAAACACAGTAACCCGATCATATGCGGGTGTCGAGATACATAAAATATATTTGGGGGAGATCAGACTAATAAGGAAGGGGGGGCATATATGGAAGTTCGGGATAAAAGGACGAATTGGGTTGGAGGTCCTGACAGTTGTAAATGTCTACCTACCAAATAACTACACATCTGAATGACAGAGAGCCTAAATTCCTCATTTAACCTTCATGCTGAATGTTGGTCAAACTTCTACCATCAAACTGTGATTAAAAAGAGAAGTTCCTTTTTATATTAGTCCCTTACGTCGTTTAGTATTCTGTATTAGTCCCTCAAATCATATTGATATTAGCCTAAATTCTCCTTCAGTACGGCTGATAGAACTAAACTAAGCCCGTCCTAAAATTTTGAAAGATACACTAGGCCAAAAGGAAAAGGAAAAGGAAAAGATAACTTAGATCTCAGACTCAGTTTTTTCCCCCTCTCGTTAAAAGCCCTTAATCTACAGAATCCACATTGTCCTTGGAATAATGCCTTGATTCCTCTCATCCTAAATAAATTTAGCATTATCATAATTATAAACCATTATTGCAACTAATAATTCTTTCAAAATAGAAAACCAGTGGATGGATGTCTCACACAAAACAGATCGGTGGAAGAGAATGGCTTTTGATCCTCTGAAAGCCCCTGCCTCAGACTTCGTTTGTTCTTTTATCTATAGAGAGGAAGAAAAGAACCAACGTTAACATCAAAACTTTGTTCTCTTATGACAAAAACATATGAAATGTAACATCACATAAAAGACCAAGCAAAAAACAAGAAAAAGAATGAGAAAAAGAGAGAGAGAAAGATAAAAGAATAGAAGCATAAAGATCTAGCAAAGAAAGGAGTAATACCCGCCACCAATCTCATTCTTGCTGATAAAAATCATGAGAGAGAGAGAGAGAGAGAGGCTTATCTAACTGAGCAGGAATTACTTCCTTTCTGAAAGTTTCAAAAAGCAGCATCAAATGAAAATGGCAACAGTATCACACTTGAAGGTGGGCCTCAATGAATTGGCACTAAGAGGTTCAGTGCCAAGGCTTCACTTATGTAGGAGAAAAAGGCGGCAAAGGTTCGCACGGAAATCACTATTTTTAGGTTATTTGGAGAGGGTTGCAGCTCCTCAGATTGTCTCCTCTCAAGCTCCAGCAATGTCTCCACAAACTAAGGTGTCAATTACTGATACATTTGGACGCACCAATCATGCATGTTCTCCAAAAAATACTCAAGCAATATACTTTTCATGATATCAAGATAGCCAAATGAAAACAGTTATGAAGGAAACTCAGAAGCCTGATTTCTTAAAGAACTGTGAAAAAGTAAAAATTTTGGAAATTTCGCATAATGACTGCATGGAAATTTTATTTTGCTCTAGAAGGTGAAGGACTAATTAAGTTTGGTATGCCATGCAAATAATCAGGACCAAATGCCTCTTACAGAGAAGGAAAAAATGCTAGCAAACTATGTACCTGTGTACGTGATGCTCCCAGTTAAGTTTACATCCTCTCACTGTTATTGCAACCGATGTCTTTAAAATCCTTATTTCCTTCATAATTCTTAAAATTTTCTTCCTACAGTTAGGTGTGATCAATCAACAGAATAAAATCGAGCAGCCTGAAGAACTCAGAAAGCAACTAAAGCAACTGAGAGCAGCAGATGTGGATGGTGTGATGGTGGATGTATGGTGGGGCATCGTTGAAGGCAAAGGACCAAAGGAATATGATTGGAGTGGTTATAGAAGTTTATTTCAAATGGTCAAGGAAGAAGCTTTGAAGTTGCAGTGTATAATGTCTTTTCATCAGTGTGGTGGAAATATTGGGGATGTTGATAATATTCCGATACCAAAATGGATTCGTGAAATTGGGGAGATAAATCCAGATATATACTACACAAACAGAAGGCGTGTGAGGAATCCAGAGTGCCTAAGCATTGGAGTGGATAATCAGCCACTTTTCCATGGGCGCACAGCTGTGGAGGTATGGATACCCTTCTCATGTGGATATTTCTGTTTTTAATTACTACATTCATATTTCTATTTGTTGTTTTCCTCCTCTTTGATTTTCTATTCCTTTACTAGGATGATCTTAAGGGCATTATTGGATAATATTTCTTTTTTTGCTTCCATTTTCATGAAATCATCATAAAACAAAGTAATATCATCTGCTTGTAGATTTCATCTGTTGGATAAGAGTGTTTGTACGCTCTCTTTTCTGAATGGAGGGTATACTCCTCATAGAGAATCTCCTCTCATCATATGGTGCCAGTTCCCTCAAACTTGCAACCACCTCTTATCACGGTCAAGTGCTTTAAACTTGCGCATGTTTAACAAATGAGCAAAAGAGATAAACAAAATGGTTCAATATAATCACATCCAATCTCAGTGATGTGAAGAATAAATGAACAATAATAACATCACTAAGACAGGGAGATTGAATATAAATAACAGTGAATATCTTGAGTTAAGTCAACCTTATTTAAGAAAAAAAGTTCAAAATCATCAATAATTAAATTAAACATCATTATCGTCCAGCAAAAAAAGATACACAAAATAAAGCAACCACCGAAGCACATTTTACATAAAGAATATCATGACTGGGCAAGTTTGTTATACGTTATTAAGTGCTTTTATATCTATTGGGTCTCACCTCTTTTTCTCTCCTTTTTTATGGGAAAGAAAGGGCCCGTCAAAATGAAAGCCCCAGCCACATTTTCCGCTTATTTTGAATCTGGAGTAAATCAAATTATTATGCATTATTAAGTTTTATCCATGGTTATGATAATATTGCAGTTATACAGTGATTACATGAAGAGCTTCAGAGAGAACATGTCAGATTTTTTAGATGTCTGTCTTATAACAGATATAGAGGTGGGCCTTGGTCCTGCTGGAGAATTAAGGTACCCCTCCTATCCCCGCAACCAGGGATGGGTTTTCCCGGGCATGGGAGAATTCCAGGTAACACAACTTGACTTTTTATCCATCACAACAACATCATTCTCCTAATAAAAGCAAACCCTATCCAAATCTCATGATTTTATTGCCAAACAATTCCCCTGATGTTTCTTTGCTTTCATTTTATAACATGATTACCTATCACTCTATCAGTGAATTCCACCGATGGAAACTCGGATCTATAAATGTGTTAATTCTTAAGATGCTGACATCATAATTTTGCTTCAAGGGCAATTAAATGTCACAAATTCTGTCACAGGCTTTATTCTTGCTCCTGTTCGATTACTGTGAAGATTAGAATTTCTACTAATTCCAGTAACACTCTGTATCAGTTTTAAAAGAGAAATCTAACAATATTAAAAAGATAAACATGTTTTCTTTCATGCATAAACATGCCACGATGCCATCATGTCCAAAGGATAAAGGTTTTATACAAACCTTAAGCAGTTATAGAACTTAATGACAACTTTCAAACTGCAAGAGAAGACAGGAATAATGAATCTCAAATACCTTACAGTGTTACGACAAATACTTCCAAGCCGATTTCAAAGAGACAGCAACAAAGGCAGGGCACCATGAATGGGACTTGCCAAATGATGCAGGAGAGTACAATGACATGCCGAACTCCACCAAATTCTTTGGATTGAATGGCACATACCTTCAAGAAGAAGGCCAATTTTTTCTAACATGGTACTCCAACAAGTTAATAAAACACGGGAATCAGATACTTGAGACAGCTAACCAAGCTTTCCTGGGCTGCAATCTTAAGCTCGCAGCAAAAGTATGACAAATAAAAGGACAAACTAATATCCAAATTTTTAATGTTTAGTGATGTGTGATTTAGTCCATAATAGGTTTCGGGAATACACTGGTGGTATAGAGCTGATAGCCATGCTGCAGAGCTCACTGCAGGATACTACAACTTGAAGGTTCGAGATGGTTACAGACCCTTGGCAAGAATGCTATCAAGACACAATGCTATTCTTAACTTCACGTGTGTTGAGATGAGAAACTCTGAACACATTGAAGAAGCTAAGAGTGCACCTGAGGAACTTGTTCAACAGGTGAACATAGTTACTGCAATAGAAGTGAAAAGGGTTAATTGCAGATAGACCCCCTGCCTATCGCCAAATTGAACTTACTACACTTTAGTTCTATTGTGGAAGATAGATCCCCTGAAAGGGTTCTATTGTGGCAGATAGACCCCATAAGTGAAAATCTAGACCCCAGAAAAGAGATTAAAAGTTTTTCACGCAGGGGGCGTATCTGCAACAATTGAACTACAGGGGTAGTAGTTCAATTTGGTGATAGTACAGAGGGTCTATCTGCAATTAACCCTAGAAGTTAAAATGATGTAACAACAGAAGCACAAAGTTTTTCATGACAGGTGTTCAGTGCTGCTTGGAGGGAGGAAATAGAGGTGGCATGTGAGAATGCACTAAATCGGTATGACAGGAAAGCATATAATCAAATACTGAAGAGCGTGAGGCCCAATTTTGGCAATCAAAATGAATCTGTGAAGCATAGAGTTGCAGCAATGACTTATCTCCGCCTGTCAGATGAACTGTTGAGGAAAAAGAATTTCAGAATTTTCAAGATATTTGTAAGAAAAATGCATGCTGACCAGGTAAAGAGCCTTCATAAGTCTATTTGTCTGTTGTATCCGAGAGATGGAATTATCACAGTATTCCTGTGTGGCACTTGGCACAAATTTCTCTGTAGGACTTGTAAACTCTGGAACATCACTTTGCTGATTCCATTCATAGAATTTACAGCATTTATAGATGATAATGCATTGCAGTTGAGAACGCATCATGGAAAAAAACCTCAGTAGAGGTTTTAAGCTCAGAAATAAAGCACAAGCATTGACCGAATTTCTGTTTGACTGTTATCTGTTTTGTTTTCAGGATTACTGCCCAGATCCTGAGAAGTATTTCAATCCAATGAAACCCGTGGAAAGATCAAAACCAGAGATGTCACTTGAAAATATTCTAGAAGCAACAAAACCAATTGAGCCCTTTCCCTTTGATGCAGACAGGAACATGACTGTGGGTGGAGATTTGGATGATTTTGCTGATTTCATGCATGATTTTTTTGACAGGTTAGTATCTGTATTGAAGTAAACAGTCCTGTTATGCAAATCAAGCTAGCAAAGTGCTCGTAAATAAGAAATACTCGCACAAGAAAGCTTGACAGCTATTGGGGTCTCCAACAGTGGGGTGAAATAATCAGTCAAGTTTCAACTTTCAACCCCTTACCCTCGTAAAATAATGATAGTATACTAGAGTTCCAGAAGAACTTTCATAAAGGAAAGCCTGATCATCTCGTTAATGGTGTTTTTTATCTCTTCAACCAATGTTGTAATGAGGATTAGGAATGTGTATATGTTTCATTTCTTGCCATGGTCTGCGGGCCTATGTTCCCATTTAGAGAAGAAAAGGATCCTCCGTGAATTCTCATCAAATACAGCAGGACAAACACCAAAAATTTATGTTTGAATGTAGTGACTCTACATTAAGATAAACATTGTCATTACACTTAAGGATCTTGGTAATGTGTCCATATCGGTTAATTCTGTGCCAATTCTTGATGAAAGTATATTGACAAACCATCAATTAGATTCTCTGAAGCAATAAACAGGGTAACCATGACAACCTAAAACCCAAGTATTTGAGATGTAATATCCCCCATACACATTAAAGCTGCAAGAAGCCTATTATAAAATTTGAAGTAAATGAAATTAACTTAAAATCTTATTTCAGCAGAAAATTGGTTACTTGCCTCCACGCATTCACCAAAAGTCATGACAAGAACAAGAGCCATTGCTGAAGTGATGAAACCTATGAGCATCTCGCACAATAATTTCTCGACCGACGAGCTTAGATATAAGTTTGGTGACGTTGTGGCAATCACTACACACCCGTAGGTTCTTTGTGATTCTTATAGTCATCCCTGGGGAAGTGTTCAAGAGAGAAAAAGCTATGGCTAGTCTTTCACTATGATCCCATAACAAGTTTTCCTTCATATCCTCCTCAACTTCATACAACACTACACTGGAATCTGGTGTATACCCAGATTCCTTCAATTGTTGCCTCAATTCACTCAACTTAGCATATATGGACTGTGATTGTGGATGCGATTTATCGCCCACAAGAAATCTATGGATTGTCATATCTAATTCAACAAAACTGCATCCTGGTGGTTTTCTAAGACCATTGTATCTTGCAGCATCTCTCACTCTCCTCACAGCTCCCCACTTCTTCTCTTTAGCATAAATGTTTGAGAGGGCAACATAAATTCCAACACTTTTAGGTTTAAGCTCAAAAGCCTTATGAGCGGCAATTTCAGCTAGTTCAACATTATGATGGATTTGACAAGCAGAAAGAAGTGCAGCCCACACATCAATATTAGGTTCGACTGCCATATTCATGATCAACTTGTATGCTTCATCTAACTGGCCTATCCTTCCGAGGAGGTCAACCATACAAGCATAATGCTCAACACTAGGCTTTTTGAAATACTCAGTTGAAATTTGGTGAAAAATCTCTTTGCCTTCAAGGCTTAATCCCGAATGGCTACATGCAGATAAAACTGAGGTGAATGTAACTCTGTCTGGTGTTATTCCTTTTTCCTTCATTTCATTAAAGCATTCAACAGCCTCCTGTCCCTTGCCATGTAGACCATATCCTGAAATCATTGCACTCCAGGAAATGAGATTTTTAATGGGCATCTCATCAAAAACTTGACAAGAACAGGCTAAGCTCCCACACTTAGCATACATGTCTATAAGAGAAGTCCCAACTGTAACTCCTTTATCAAGTCCCTTCCTAATGAGATAAGCATGGAGACTCTTCCCAAATTGCAAGGCTGCTACTTTATCACAAGCTCCAAGTACCGCTACAAGGGTAACATTGTCAGGGACAAATCCATTATGGTTCATTCTATGAAATAAAGTTAAGCTTTCAATAGCATCGCCATGGCACGCTAAGCCTGAAATCATAGTATTCCACGAGACAGTGTCCTTATTATCCATCCTTTCGAACAATCGCTTTGAGCCCATCATAAAGTTAGATTTTATGTATACATCTATAAGAGAATTCATCAAAATTTTATTGAACTCCATACCACTACGAAGAATATAAGCATGAATCTCCTTGCCTTGCTTCAATGCACTCAAATTGGCACAAGCCGGCAATACTGCAACAAGGGTCAGCTGGTCCAGTCCCTCTTTGCCCTTGGCCACGACAGAAAAGACAGAAATCGCCTTTCCTGGATCACAGTTCCTCATATAACCCGAAATAATAGTGTTCCAAGAAGTCAAATCTCGTTCAGAAATTCTACCAAACACTTTACGAGCAACTCCCATCTCTCCAAACTTAGCATACATTGCGAGAAGAGAGTTGCCCACGTAAACATCTGGCTCATACCCACTAACAATAACATCACAATGGATCCTTTTACCGATCTGAACAAGCGAAAGATCACCACAAGCCATAAGAACAAATGGGTAACTGAAATTATCCCCATTATTGCCAGATCTCAACATGTCCCTATACATTGCTATTGAATCAAGAGAAAACCCATTACTAGCGTAGCCCCTTATCATAGAATTCCACAAGAAGGAGTTTTTGAACGCAATCCCATCGAAGAGAAGTCGAGCTTCAGCCATTCTTCCATTGCTAGCGTACATTGCGCAGAGTCTGGTGGCGAGATAAGCGTTGTTGATGAGAACGCCGGTGGAGATAACGTAGGCATGGAGCTGTTTCCCTTTTTGGTGGGATTTGAGGTTGGTGATGGATTGAACAAGATTGCCGCATTGGAGAGAGTTTAGAGTTGGCGGGAATTTGGGAGGTTTGAGAGGCATTCATGCAAGAGAGTTTTGAGGAGGTGAAAGTAAAGGAAAACTTTATTTGTTCGGGTTACCCACAATAGCCTCTGAAAAGTTTGAATTAGTCCCTCAACTTATTAAAATTTCTATCAGGTACTCTAAATTATTAAGTTATTTTGAAACTAATCCCTCAAATCATTGAAAATTCTATCAGGTCCTCCAGTGCTTAAGTTAGTTTGAAATTAGTCCCTCCATTCAAAGAGGATAATTAGCAACTAGAAGGACTAACTGAGGTACTAAGCGTAAATCTTATCAGAGAACATCGTGCATGCTATTGTGTGTTCTGAATCGCACAGTGGCCAGTTGAAATGCCAAATTATTTCCCAAGAAGTTTATACTTTACTTTACATCATTGTCCATTGCAGAGTAGTTAACAGTTAACAGTGAAGGATACATAATATTTAAAACTTACGTTCAGGATTAATAACTCTGTAATCAGTATTGTAGAATGCAATATACTTAAGTTTCAGAAAAAAAAAGAAAAAAAAAGAAAAAAAAAGAAGAAGACAACTTCTATAAATCTGAAGCTTGCCAAAACCACCCTCTAATCTCTCCATTCTAGCCTCTACGGATACAATTTGAATGGCCAAAAACCTCCAAAACACCTCAATTGGATAAGCACACAACACAACCATACACACAGTTGAGAAATCCACCATTCAATCTTACTCCCTCCCATTCCTCACCTATCAATGGCTACTCCACTCTCAAACCTCAATGCACCCACTCAACTCTTCTCTTCATCCCCGAAGTCAAAACCCAAATTCATCACCTCTGCCGCCAAAACCTCACAAATCCCTCAATTACCTCAAATTAACACACGAGCTACAAGCCGAAGAGCCACACTCAGCCTAGCCACTGTCGCCGCTATCTTCAATCAGCTACTCCCCCTTCACGCAGAGGAGGAGAACAATGGCTTCTGGCTCACTGGTCCATTACCAGTCCCAACAGTCACTAACAGTAAGTTAACACCCATCTTTAAAAACTTAGTTGCATCTGTTTGTTTTCGTGAAACCCATGAAAATATGAAGGGAAAAAAATCGTGTTTCAGAGATTGCAAATGAAGAATCAGGAACTCGATCATTTCTGAAGAAAGGTATATACATGGCAAATATTGGCGTGCGAGGGAGCATGCTCAGGCTGAAGCATTATGCATTTGATTTGTTAGCGTTGGGGGATTTAATAGGGCAAGATAACTGGAATTATCTAAAGAAGTATTTATGTCTTAAGTCTACTGTTATGTATTATGATTTCGATAAGGTTATCTCCGCTGCTCCTGCTGATCAGAAGCAGCCGCTTCTTCAGTTGGCTAATAGACTATTCGACAATGTAGAAAAGGTAAGGAAACATATTGACTTGGTTTTCTTTTGTACTTGAATGAATATCCCTGACTGGTATTTTTCCTTGTTATTCTTGAATTGATAGCTTGAGGATGCTGTGAAGCAGAAGAGCGATCCATTGACGAGATCATGCTACCACGACACTACAGTTGTTCTGCAAGAAGTAATGGCCAGAATGGCCTGATAATTACTTGTAATATTAGGCAGCATTATAATACCAAGAGCCATGGAATATACTTCCACTTCTTATTTTGTTTCTGGGTAGTGTCAGATTCTTGTTTAGTACAACTGGCTTACAAATCTAAGCTTAATGCATTGAACAAAAAGAGACTGTAACTCATGAACTATACGAACAGAAAGATAAAAGACAGCACTGAGCCTTCTAGATTATTATACATAAACCAATATGAGTTTGATAAAAAGTGAGGAATGTATGTTAAGATGCAATGAACATTTAACAATTGTGAGCAAGTAAACTTGAATATGTTGTTTCAGACAGGAATATCTTATTAATGTACAAGAAATATGGAAGAAATATTAGTGTTTCATCTATTTAACTTCTCCATCATCAGGGGTGGGGGGACTAGCCACAATTCAATCTTGCATCTGAAAACTGCAACTGAGTTTGTTTTCAGCCAACGCCAATTTCAGGGGAGATCAACGTTTTGGACTCTCCCCCCTATGAAACAAAAGGAATTTGAAATTAGGATATTGGAGGGAAAATATACTGAAGAAAATTTGTTCTTAAGTTATTTAAGTCATTCTCTTTCAATAGCCTAAGACCATCTCCAACCCATTGCACCAAAATGGTGCAAAAGTCACATCAAACCGTAATTCATCTTCAACCCACTACACCATTTTTTGCACCAAAAAAGAATATTCTCAGTATATTCCTTTTTATCTACTTTTATATTATTATTTTCTATTCCCTATATTTTTAACTATTTCAACAATTAACCCCACATATCAAATTTTGTTTTTTCATATATTTTTCAAACAAAATAATTTATTATTTAAAAAATTAAAATAATAAAACAATAAAATAATATTTTATTAATTATGAGGTAAAAAAATAAAAAATTGAAAATTTTAAAAAAAAGGAACAATAATGCAGCGGATGAACAGACCATCTCCAACCCATTGCACCAAAATGGTGCAAAAGTCACATCAAACCGTAATTCATCTTCAACCCACTACACCATTTTTTGCACCAAAAAAGAATATTCTCAGTATATTCCTTTTTATCTACTTTTATATTATTATTTTCTATTCCCTATATTTTTAACTATTTCAACAATTAACCCCACATATCAAATTTTGTTTTTTCATATATTTTTCAAACAAAATAATTTATTATTTAAAAAATTAAAATAATAAAACAATAAAATAATATTTTATTAATTATGAGGTAAAAAAATAAAAAATTGAAAATTTTAAAAAAAAGGAACAATAATGCAGCGGATGAACAGTGTGACGTCATATTTGGCGTCGAACTGTTCATCCGCACCAAAATGCCGCAGCAAATGCGGCATGATTGGAGCATGAATAGTTCAACGCAGCGGCATTTTGCCGCTGTGTTGGAGATTCCCTAATGACCTCTAAAGCTGTTAGTATAAGCAGCTAGCATTACCTCAAGAAGGCGAGCTAACTTCTAGTTTCTGTAAGGCGCATGATCTATTCTATTTACAATAAGTTGTTAATAGAGTTACTTCTCAGTGAAATGAGACAAAACAAATCATCCTGTTAAAGTCACACCAGCTACAGTGCCACTGACTATGCTATAGTATCCATGTACCTACATCTACAGTATCCACCAACTTACAGCTACACTGCAGCCGCTACCTATTCTACGATACCTTGCTATCATGTGCCGCCCTATTAGTCCATTGGTCACTCTATCTTCTTGCTGAGAGAGTGTGGAGAGAAGATAGATCCACTCTATCTTCTCATTGACAGAGTGTGGAGAGAAGATAGAGTGGCTATTGGACTAATAGAGGCGGCACATAATAGACAGGGTGCTGCAGGATATAGCGGTTGCATTGTAGCTGTAGGTAGATGGATACTTATATGTAGGTAGGTGGATACTATAGCATAGTCAGTGGCACTATAGCTGGTGTGACTTTAACAACCCCCGCAAACTCACAGTGAATCGAAAACTGAGAGTTTAGATAAAAAAGAGTCAAAATTTGCAAAAGACATGTGTCTGAGAGTAGATGAAAGAGTCTTAACTCTGGTGACGAAATCGATAATATAGGATGTAATCCAGGAGTGCCGATAAGAGAAACCCAATGGTTTTATGATCGATCGGGTAGGATAGGAATCCAAGAGCATCAATAGAGGAGAACTCAATGTCGACGAGATGAACAGCAAGGATAGTAATCCTTATACATCAATGGAGAAATTTGTAGTGGCAACGAGATTGAACGGCGAGAGATAGAAATCCTTGTACATCGACGGAGAAGATATTGAGAGTCGATGATGAGACCGTGAAGAGGAGAAGCTCATTGCAAGGAAAATCTCAATAGTTGATGTTGAGGCCGTGAAGAAGATATCTCACATAAAAGAAAGAGATGTGAGTCTTAGCCGAAATTTTGAATATGACGGCAATGGGTTTTGAAAGGTCGCCGATATGAATAAGGAGCTCAATTGAAGGCCAACAGGCGTGCTGATGTTCAATAGAACATTGAGGAGAAGCTCGACATGAAGTCGATAAAGAAAAAACAATTCGCCAGTATCCCAAATGGTGAATAGGAAGCTTAGGCCTGTTGAAATTGGGATGATAGGATACGAATAACCACAGGTCGCATAATATAGGCCATATTCTGTTAAATGGTATGAATCCACTGATCACGAGGAAGTATCAATAGAGGAGTCATCAGGAGCAGTCTCTATTACAGCAGATGCAGCAGCAACGACCCATTGTTCAGTACCATAAAGCCGACTCAGAGGTTTGCGATGAGCGTCCAAATAAACAAATAGACTCGAGCTGTAAAGTACGAGTGTGAACATCAAGGTGATCACGCGGGTCAAAGTTTTAAAAGCCCCAATGTAATTAGGTAGCAACCACCAATTTTCCTTAATTAATGAGAAGAATTTAGGAAAGGAGTAGGTGAAGGGATGAGAAAGGAGGTGAGGTTGAATACAAGAATCAGAGAGGCTCTCTGAGGCGAGATTGACTCCGTCATGTTCTTAAAGAGAGGGATGGTTTAGGTGACCGATCAAAGCCTGATGTTGAACCCGAGTGATTTTAGGAGTGAGGATCTATAATTTGCTATGAACTAAGGCTAAGGTGGTCAATGGTTTCCGCGACAGAGATCAAGTGTGAGGGAGAAGATAACTCTGTGCTACGGTTGAGATCGGTGGGGCGAGCTCAGAGCATTGGGCGAGTTTGTCAGAGACAGAGACGATTTGGAGTAGCAGTGATGGTTAAGGCATCATCGGCGAGCTAGAGAGCAATGCTGAGACGTCCTTTTCTTAGAGTGGGCCTCAGAAGTGGTCCAGTCAGCTGAGTCAGCGTTGGGAATCAAGATGCAGCGGTACGACAAGCAGGAGGAAGGAGGCACAGTTGGGGACGATGGTTATCGTTTGCGTGTGGTCGAAGGGTGACCAACACAACGTGGTGGTGGTGGTGGCGCATAGAGTTGATTTCTTTGCTAGGCAACCTCAAGGCTAGGCGTAGCAAGCAAAGAATGCGGCCAACGCTTTACAATTTCAGAGCTGAAACGAGATTTATCTTGTGAATTATTGCGGTGAGGTTCAGAACTTCATATAGAACTTGATACCATTGGATGAGGTTGGACTTGGTGTGAGGTTTTCTCCTTATTAGGATAACCACAGCTGATTGGTTTAAGATCAAGGACTAGACTGAGGCGAGAAGGAGACTTGATCACGATTCCAAAAATAGTATCTCGAACCCTAGTGAAATGAGGGAGAGCTCGGAGAAGGAGGTCAAAGTCTTTCGAGGTTATTCAGAGACGCGAACCGAGAGCAGAGCCAACCTAATCCTGATGTCCAATAGCCGGAGATGATAATGATAACGGCCAAAAAGGCAACACCAACCAGTAGTGGTGTTGGCAGTGATATCTAGATCTGGGGCCATGGAGAGAGTGATTAGCAGCAGTGACAGTCATGGAGACTGGAGGTAAAGGCGTCGTAAATGAGCGAGGGATGGAATGATATCCTCAAATAACTTGTGTTGAAGATGGAGCAACATCATCTTTGAGTAGGGCGACGAAACTTCAGTTCGTCAGCAAGGAAGAAGACTCTGAGAGCATGAGGAGCATCAGGGTCGTAGGAGACTTCATTAGTTACAGATGTTAAGGCCCGGAGTGGAACGATCAAAGGAGACTTGGGGAGATGTGGTTGAATTGGATTGTGAAGGGAGACTGAGTAGCAACGTCCATGAATCTGCTCCGATAAGCAAGCTAAGCTGAGGGTCGAAGGTGGCTGATTTGAGATTGCAGCTTGATGGACGAAGTTGAGGCTGTGATGAATAGTGGCACCGACGATAAAGACTTAAATGGATGTTGGCCAGATAATTTCTAGCTTAGTTGAGATGGTGGACGGCTGAAATTCTAGGTTTGCAGTTTTGGTGCCACCGAGGGGAAGAATGTCAAGATGAACCCCCTTGACGGTCCAAGATGTTGGAAGAATAGATCTCTCTAGATCAACAAGACTAGCTCTGATACCATGTAAAATAAGGTATGAGAGAGAACTATTTCCTTGATTATGTTTGGGGTAGGAGACCCGATATATACACACACACATTGAGGGAGTGTGGGGGAGAAGATAGAGTGCCTAATGGACTAATAGGGCGACACATAATAGACAGGGTATTGTAGCACAGGTAGCGGCTGCACTGTAGCTGTGGATAGGTGGATACTGTAGATGTATATAGGTGGATACTATAGCATAGTCGGTGGCACTGTAGCTGGTGCGACTTTAACACATCCATATGCCCAATTATCGATCTTTTGCTACAATTTTATGGTCGGATTCCACCTATTTACACAACTTGATATTTTGCAGCAGTAGAACCTAAAATGAACTTACATTAGACAAGGTTAAAGTATGTTCTTAAGAGAAAGTGATCTGCCAAGTTTGATCAAGATCAAAGTCATCAAATTTGTGAGTAAAGTTTGTTTAAATTTTGGTCTAGGAGATTCAAAATACCCTTCGGTATCATGAACTCAACTCAACCTCTCATGACGGGTCTGATATTTCGACCCGTTATATCATAACGGAGATAGTGTTTTCATCTCCTGGCGTCACTTTTATATCTACAAGGCAGCTAAACTAAGGATCCATTGCTCAAGAGTGTAACGGCTTTTTCCTCAAAACTCCCAAACTCAAATCTACATTTTCTTCTTAAATTTCTGTAGTTACACACCATTTAATGAAAGTTTTTTTTTACCTCTCCCTATAAGAGAGCCAAACTCCATGATTACCCTCTCAACTAGTTGAGTTGCTCAAATTTGTGCAAGAAGTAAGCTGCAAAAGGGGTACTGCACTTACAGTTGCAACTGTAAAATCTAGTTACAATGAAATAAATACTTGCGACAGAGTAAAAATGGTCCAATTGTATGCAACTGTAATGCCCCCACAGTACCAAATGCCCCCTTTGCTAGCCCTGGAACTGGAGCGGGCACGAATCCGGATCCAGTACCGTTAAACACTGCCCGGCTGACATAAACCAGTGATGAAAGGGCAACACTAGTTCACACATGTCAACCATCCATTGGGCCACAAAAAACTCAATCCAACCAATGCAACATCAGACCACAAAACATGACACGTGGCAACCACCGAGTGGCCGCCAACTTATCCACATTGGCAATCCTTAGATAAGGCATCCTGCCCGTTGCCCGAAATCATTAAAATACCCACAAACTCCAAACTTAAACCAGGAAGCCATTTTTCAAGAGCGACAGAGGGAGAGGGAGAATGGCACAAGCTATGGCTTCAATGGCAGGCTTACGTGGAATCACTCAGGCCGGCTTGAGCGAAGCCTGAGCTTAGTGGGCAGAGCAGGCTGACAGGCTGCCCAGGGAGCAGCCGTTGTGGTTGTGGGCGAGCTGGAATTAGGGCCCAACAGGCGCAGAGGGCGAGGTTGCGGCCCAAACAGGGAGGAGGAGTTGTGCTTGGGCTGGTTGCCCGCGGACTGGCCGGTGGTCTTTTGTTCAGGCCGTGCTGTGATGCCAAGTCCATTAAGTTGGGCCACCCCTCCACCCTCGGTGGACTTCGTAAGTTTTTTTTTTTTTACCTGACATATTTTTCTCTCTTGCTCGGTTTAGAGTTGCAATAATGACAGATACATTGAGATTCTTAGGTAATTTGGATGCTTATGTTGCAATTGAATTCTACGTTTGAATCGACTAAAAACTTTATATGGGTAATTTTGATTCGAATAGAAAATTGCTTAGTTGATCTGACGAGCATTCTGGATGATTAGTTTTGCAATTGATCAATTCATGAATTAGCTAAAACAAAGGTTATTTCAAAGTCGTTTCACAATATGGTATATTTCCTGAAGAAGTCATAATAGAGAAATTAAAGTGTAGAGCCTTTCAGAGAATAACGAAAAATGTCTTCGTAAGAAAATACAATGTCTGGAGCGACATTTTCTTGGATAGAAGTATAGACATCATGCATCAATTGCATCTAATTCCAGATAACACGATTAATATCAACCGCTCTTATTTTGCATAAAAGTTACAGTTAGCTATAGCTCTAAACACAATTATTTCCATCTTCTAAAGTGTATATCATGATATATTGAGTATACAGTTTGCTTTCCCCCCCCCCCCCCCCCCCCCCCTTCTGCTATGCACAGCCGGAACATTGGAACTCAGATTGAACAAGAGACTTTGATCTCCCACTTAAGGACCGATTCTACCTCCAACCGCTCCCACCAGCAGAGGCTGCAGCAAGAGCCAAAGAATCCGCGAAGGACATCCTCAGCGTCAAAGAGCTCATCAACAAGAAAGCGTGGCCCTACGTAATGAATGACCTCCGCCTCAAGGCCTCGTATCTCCGTTACGACCTCAACACGGTGATTGCAGCAAAATCCAAGGAAGAGAAGAAACCCCTCAAGGAACTCACAGGAAAGCTCTTCAATACTATTGATGAAGTAAGTTCATTGGCATGTGATCTAAAAAGAGTAGTAAAGTTCTACTGAAGATTAATGTAATTTCGTTTGTGTGGTTTGGTTTCAGCTTGATCATGCGGCGAAGACTAAGAACGCTGAAGAGGCAGAGAAGTATTATGCAGCGACCAAGTCGGCTCTGGACGATGTCTTTGCCAAGCTTGGTTAGAGGAAACAAATTTATGTCTGTAATGTTATCTTTCAGTTTTCTTTGTCTATATAAGAACTAAGTCCAATTTGTGTGATTTCTGGTACGTTTGTCTCAAGAAATTTGTGCTTGTGGCAACATTCAGATCTTGCAGCTCAAAGACAGGGTAACAGGAAACAACTTTTGAGAAGCTATTAATCTTTATTTGTCGCTAAACAGATTGCATCAGGGATAAAAAAACACCTTTTTTTTAATTGTGGGCTTCTACATTAGTAGGTCGAGAATAATCATGAACAGCAGTTATAAGGCTCACTTAATCTGCTCAGTAAACACTTTCAGCTCACCATTGTTGAGAATCTTGTCAACATTAACATGCCTGGCTCTGCGAGTTCAGAGTCGGAATATATGCATCCTTCGCAGTTTGCAGGAAAACAGGTTGGTTCACCTATTATACCCATTCATTGTAATGCAAAATGAAAACTGCCTCCTATAAACACCAGCCGGCAAATTATTTCAGATTAAATTTAACCGACATCAAATTTGAAGTGCTCGAATCAAGAGAACTTTGAATTTCATAGACAAATCTTAGAGCTTTATTTTGCATAATACTTGAAACAAACAAATATCGAATTCAAAACTTGGATCCTGGTTACACCTTCACTGCTATAGATAACTAGGACTTGGAGCTTGAAGTTTGCAAACAATCATGAACCAACATCAGATGTGACAACTCAAAGCTAGAGACCTAGAGGAACAATAAAATGATACATAAGATCATCAAGATACAGCATTTGGGTTCAACAAAGAATTCTCCATCAGAGGCCTATCTACTTGTAAATTTTCACTGTTTAGGATAAGCAGTACCACGTTTGCTAGGCTTTCGTCATAATCACAACAAAAACTCTGAATAAGGTTTTGAGTCTATTGCTCTGCCTTCTTAAAATCATCAGTACTTTCTTCCTCACTCTGCTCTGCTTGATCGCTACGCGTACCTAACTCTTTCATTAGTATCTTTGACTGAACTCTTCTGGCTTCTTTCCTGGCCTCCTCTTTTTCAAGCTTGAGTTCTTCAAAACCCTTTGCAATCTTATCTTCTTCTTCAGGGGTGAAGAAGCCTACTTCCATGTTACCAAGTTCAGCATACATTTTTTCAACCTTAGCCTTCCAGACTAAACCCATTTCAGTGTCCATCTTCTCGTAAGGGGTCTTCAAAAGGTACTCATCAATCCCACCAGCTTTGTCAATCCACCTCAGGGCATGGGTGGTGACTTTAATACAAATGTGTTTGTCATGGATATAGCTAAAGAGGCGTTTCTCCTGTACATTAGGCTTCCAACTCCGTCTAGATCTATAGGAATAAGAGTGATGTAATGTCAGAATGGAGTATATCTGACTGAAATTACAGCAAAAAAAAAAAAAAAAAAAACCCCATATGACAATGAGATATCTGAAACTATCATATGCATTGGTTTCCTTAACTGCGGATGTTTGAATGATAATAATATGGTACATGAAAATATAATGATTAACCGCGTTATCCAAGCAGAGAAGAATGCAAGCCTGATGCAGTACATTTATTAACTTAGAATCCTTGTTAAGATCTACCAGAACTATTTTTTCTTCAAATCTTAAGAAAATCTAATTTCATCCATTTATAACCAATCATCATCTATTCTAAATTCACAATTATATTGTCTTTCATGTTGTACAAATATACTATAGATCTACATTTATAAAGGCAAGATCGAAAAAATGAATTTTCAAAATTCTCTCAAATAAACACTATAAATAGAGAGACTTTAGAAGCCATGTTAGTTCACATAGATGTCTAAAAACGTTGAAGTTTGGATGGTCATTGGTAGTTTTCTAGTATATACCTGACTTGGCCGACCTTTCTGGCTGTCACATCTTTTTTCTTCCTCAGTAGGATCACTCATTTAATAATGATTCAGCCTTGATCATAACTATTAGCAGTATTTTGGTCATAATTTAAAAAAAATGCTAAAATAGATGAACAGGATCAAAAGATACAAATACTAGAAAATATATACAACATCACGAAAAAGCAAATAGCAGAACAAATTCAGGCTTACTCCAAATAACAACCTCGTAAGACAGAAAAACTTAGGAAACTAGATATTAACATATTAAGTACGAGAAAATAGCAAAATATCCAACTGAAGCAACTGCCTTCAGAACCAATGACAGAACAAGGTAATGTAAGGGATGGTGATTGCATCAGCTTTTAATTTGATGTGCCAACGTAGCAAATAGCCAAGCATCACATGCAACAAGAAATACACCTCAAAAGTGCTCCTTGAGTGTGTAGTTTGCGACATTTACTTAAAGGCTGAATTTTTATACCTGCCATGTAGCAGCTTATTCCCAGCGTAGGGATTGTACCTTAAGAATTTAATCCCTACAAAGTAGCAACTTGATTAGGTTATTCCTTTAAATCACCTCACTCAACCACTTAATACCCGCCATCCTGCACCAGTTCAAGCCCCGAAAATCAGACCTAAGGGTAGAGCTATCTAAATCATTAACATCAACTAAAATATGTTAGATTTAATCTAATAAATCTATTTGTGGGCACATATGATTAATCAATGTGTATTGCTATCTTTCAGGATAACCCACTAAAGTGATCAATTAAGTTGGGTTAATGGGTATTTAAATATAATCATGGGGTCAAATGTGCAGATACCAGGTTGTAATTGTAATTTATTGAGGGGCTAAATTACAAAAGTACAACATCTATAAATAAGGGGTTATGGTCCCTAACCTAGGGTTACATTCTCTAATTCTCTACACCCCCATCTAGCTAGAGAAATTCGGATTTAGAGAAACTCTAAGGTTAGAAGATCCAAAACCCATCTCAAGGTTCATCCATGAATTCAGGTATAAACTTCCGCTCTTTTAATTATTGTTAATCTCTTTGAATTAATCATGGCTATATGGTTTTAGATCTCAAGTTTTGGTTTAGATCTAACAAGTGGTATCAGAGCCACCTTGATTAATTCTTAGGGATTTAAGTTTTATTGGGTTTTTTGATCTTAAATCTCTGGTTAAAGATTCATTTTTTTGTTCGGATGAACAGTAACAAAAATTTTCGGATGAACAGTAATTTTTTTGGTCCGGGTGAACAGTAACGAAAATTTTCGGGTGAACGGTAAAGTTTTTTTCGGATGAACAGTGAAGTTTTTTTGGATGAACAGCAAAGTTTTTTCGGATGAACAGGAACTGAAAAATGGCCGGTGAACAGTAACTTTTTGAATTTTTTGGATTTTTCGGTGGTTTTTTTCTTGGATCTGGATCAAGAAAACTAATTTTTTCGATTCCAGATCTGTTTTTTGATTTAATGGCGGCGGTTTCAGTTTGAAACCCTAAGGGTTCGTGCGTGAAAACGTGCCGAACGTTAAGGAGGTAGTTACCTCAAATTTTGGCGAAGCTGAAAGCTTCAAACGAACCTCGCGTTCGTTCATCTTTAACCGAACTTCGCGTTCAAACGAACTTCGCGTTCGTTATCAAGTGAGCCTCGCGCTCAACGAACTTCGCGTTCGTTCTAAGGTGAGCCTCGCGCTCAATTCAGGTGAGCGTTAAGCTCAATTTAAACGAACTTCGCGTTCGTTCTCATGTGAGCCTCGCGCTCAACTCAGGTGAGCGTCAAGCTCAATTTTAACGAACCTCGCGTTCGTTCTAAGGTGAACCTCGCGTTCAACTCAGGTGAGCGTCAAGCTCAATTTTAACGAACCTCGCGTTCGTTCTAAGGTGAACCTCGCGTTCAACTCAGGTGAGCGTCAAGCTCAATTTTAACGAACCTCGCGTTCGTTCTAAGATGAGCCTCGCGCTCAGTTCTAAGGTGAGCCTTGCGCTCAGTTTTCAGTCGAACCTCGCGTTCGAGCTTCAGTCGAACCTCGCGTTCGTGCTTCAGTCGAATCTCGCGTTCGTGCTTCAGTCGAACCTCGCGTTCATCTTTTTTAACGAACCTCGCGTTCGTTCTCAAGTTGAACCTCGCGTTCATTTTTTTTAACGAACCTCGCGTTCGTTCTCAAGTTGAACCTCGCGTTCATGCTTAAGTGAGTCTCGTACTCAATACAGTCGAACCTCGCATTCGAAGTCAAGCGAACTTCGTGTTCACTATGGTTAAGCCTCAGCTTTTCATGGGTCCATTTTGGTATACTTAATTTATTCAATTAAGTTATGCGTCCTAATTAAGCTGTGAGACCCCAATTAAGTTTTTAGAAATTCAGTTGATTTAAATTGAAATTTTTTAATTTAAATCTAATTTGGTTTTTAATCAATTATTTAATTCAAATATTATGACACTAAGGAATTAAGGTTGTCTCTCACTCCAATTGATTAATTGAAACAAGAAGTTGCCAAAGTAACCTCTCTTGTGTAGATTGTTCATGAGGAATGTGAGATGTTTGTGTGTATGCTTTCGTGTAAATATTTAATCGGCCCAAAGGAAGGTTAATATTTATTTAGACTGTATACACATCTGCGATGATAAGCGTGTGACAATTATAAGGTTTACATGTGAATAATGAATCGATCCAAAGATAGTTTCATTATTTGACATGAGTTATTGTCAATGTTTGATCATTGCAACAAGGTATCACTTACAAGTTAATATTACTGTCCAAAGACTTGATATTAATGTTGTGCCGGTATCTTGGATGGGGATTGTCATTATTTGAATTTTATTGATTATGGTTATTGATGTGAGCATTCTTTTGTTTTATTTCAGCTAATGCATCTGCTGCAACAATTTCTGCTAACATCAACTCAATTCCCATGCTAAATGGGACAAACTTCAAGGTTTGGAAAGAGAACATATTAATTGTTCTTGGCTGCATGGATCTTGACTATGCATTAAGAACTGAACAACCCCAACCTCTCAATGCGGATAGCACTCCTGATGCAAAGAAGGAGCATGAGAAGTGGGAGCGTTCAAATCGCATGAGTCTTATGATCATTAAGCGCGGCGTTCCGGAAGCCTTCAGGGGCATAGAATCCGAAGGGATTACTAAGGCTAAAGATTTCCTTGCCGAAATTGAGAAGCGTTTTGCGAAAAACGATAAGGTAGAAACAAGCACGCTTTTAGCTCGCTTGATTTCGATGAAGTATAAGGGCAAGGGAAACATCAGGGAGTACATTATGGAAATGTCTCATATTGCTTCAAAACTTAAGGCACTTAAACTCGATCTTTGTGATGAGTTATTAGTGCATCTGGTTCTGTTGTCTCTTCCTGCACAGTTTAATCAATTTAAGGTCAGTTATAACTATCAAAAGGAGAAATAGACTCTAAATGAGCTCATTTCATACTGTGTGCAAGAAGAAAACAAGTTGAAGCAAGATAAGACAGAAAGTGCTCATTTGGCCTATGCCTCTAAGGATAAGGGCAAGAAAAGGAAGAATGATAAGGAAGCTGCTAAGGGTCCAGTTGAGAAGAAACAACATAAGGATAATCAGGGTTGTTTCTTCTGTAAGAAGCCTGGACATGTAAAGAAGGACTGTACAAAATATCACGCCTGGCGTGATAATAAGGGTACGTTCCTTGCTTTGGTCTGTTCTGAGGTTAATTTAGCTTCAGTATCTAGAAACACTTGGTGGTTAGACTCTGGTGCAACTACTCACATAAGTGTTTCTATGCAGGGCTGCCTGAGCTACCGAAAGCCAAGTGATGTTGAAAGAAACATCTTTGTGGGCGACGGACAATCGGTAGATGTGGAAGCAATTGGACACTTTAGGTTGTTGTTAGGAACTGGTTCTTATTTGGACTTAAAAGATACTTTTGTAGTACCGTCTTTTAGACGGAATTTGATTTCAGTTTCTGTATTGGATAAATCAGGTTATTCTTGTTCATTTGGAAACAATCAATTCAGTTTATCTTTTAATTCAAATGTTGTGGGAACCGGTTATTTGAGTATTTATGACAACCTATATTTGCTTGATACAATTGCTTCTTACAATGAATCCTTGCATGTGGAATCACGTGGTACTAAGCGTAAATTAAATAAGAAAAATTCGGCAACATTATGGCATAAGCGCTTGGGTCATATCTCAAAAGGTAGAGTTGAGCGTCTTGTGTCTGATGGTATTTTAGATTCCCTTGATTTTTCGGACTTCAACGTATGTGTTGAATGTATCAAAGGAAAACAGACCAAAGTAAAAAGATTAGGTGCCAACAGATCTTCGGATGTCTTAGAATTGATACATACAGATATTTGTGGCCATTCCCTACGGAATCCTGGAATGGTCAATAATATTTTATATCATTCATAGACGATTACTCACGTTATGGGTACCTATATCTTATTCATGAAAAATCTGAGTCTCTGGACATGTTCAAAGCCTATAAAGCTGAAGTTGAGAATCAACTCAACAGAAGAATTAAAACGGTTAGATCTGATCGTGGTGGTGAGTACTACGGTAGATATGATGGTTCAGGTGAATAACGTTCAGGACCATTTGCTAGATACCTAGAGGAATGCGGTATCGTCCCACAGTACATCATGCCGGGTTCACCTAGCATGAATGGTGTAGCTGAAAGACAAAATAGGACTCTTAAGGATATGATAAGAAGTATGATTGCTCATTCTTCTTTACCAGAGTCACTCTGCGGAGAAGCACTTAAGACAGCAGCTTACATTCTGAATAGAGTACCAAGTAAAGCAGTTGTTAAAACACCTTATGAGCTTTGGACTGGTCGAAAGCCCAATTTAAAGCATTTACATATTTGGGGATGTCCAGCTGAGGCAAGGCTTTATAGGCCAAATAAAAAAAAATTGGACTCCAAAACAGTTAGCAGCTACTTTATTGGATACTCTGAACGCTCTAGGGGCTATAAGTTTTATGATCCCACTATAAGGAATATTTTTGAGACGGGAATAGCAACATTCTTTGAGGATGTTGAGTTTGGAGGGAGAAATAAGGTTAGAGACATTAGTTTTGAGGAGGATTTGGCTTCAGATCCAATCCATACAGTTACTTTTGACAATATTCAGGCTCCTATACCTGTTATTGCTCAAGAAGTAAATCCGGAACCTCAAGATGATAATGTTGAACAACTCCCTGTTTCAGAAGAACAAACTCAACAACCTCAAGAACCAGTGCCATTAAGGAGATCCACGAGAGAAAGGAGAAATGCTATTCCGGATGATTATATTGTATTTCTCCAAGAACATGAGGAAAGTAGTGGAATGTTAGAAGATGATCCAATCAACTTCTCTCAGGCCATGAAAAGTTCTAACTCTCAACAGTGGATTGATGCCATGAATGAAGAGTACAAGTCTATGCAAGACAATAAGGTTTGGGAGCTTATCCCATTACCAGAAGGTGCAAAACCAATTGGTTGTAAATGGATTTTTAAAACCAAGCGGGATGCAAATGGAAATGTGGAGAGGTATAAGGCACGTCTTGTGGCTAAAGGTTATACTCAAAAGTAAGGCATTGATTATACAGAGACTTTCTCTCCGGTTTCATCGAAAGACTCTTTCAGAATAATCATGACACTTGTTGCTCATTATGACCTTGAGTTACATCAGATGGATGTTAAGACTGTATTTCTCAATGGAGACATTGATGAGATGATTTATATGGTGCAACCAGAAAACTTTGTGTCAGGAGACCCAAAGAATATGGTTTGCAAATTAAGGAAATCCATCTATGGACTCAAGCAAGCTCCTCGTCAATGGTATCATAAGTTTCAACAAATAGTTATCTCGTTCGGTTTTGAGATGAACATTGTTGATGACTGTGTATATCACAAGTTCAGTGGGAGTAAGTATATTTTTCTGGTTCTGTATGTCGATGACATCTTGCTTGCCACTAATGATATAGGCATGTTGCACGAAACCAAGAGATTTCTATCAAAGAATTTTGAGATGAAAGATCTTGGGGACGCCTCTTTTATATTAGGGATCCAGATACATCGAGATCGCTCTCGGGGTATTCTTGGATTATCACAAAAGAGCTATATCGATAAGGTACTTAAAAGGTTTGGCATGCAAGATTGCAGACCAGGTGACACCCCTGTTGCTAAAGGAGACAAGTTTAGTCTCAATCAGTGCCCTAAAGGTAACCTTGAAATTCAGGAAATGCAGAAGATTCCTTATGCTTCGGCTGTAGGAAGTCTAATGTATGCTCAGGTATGTACGCGTCCGGATATTACGTACATTGTTGGGATGTTAGGCAGATACTTAAGCAACCCTGGTATGGATCATTGGATAGCAGTCAAAAGGGTTATGAGGTATCTTCAGAAAACAAAAGATTACATGCTCACATACAGAAAATCAGAAAAATTAGAGGTCATTGGGTATTCGGATTCTGATTTTGCTGGATGCCAAGATAGCAGAAAGTCTACATCAGGCTACATTTATATGTTAGCATGAGGAGCTATATCATGAAAAAATGTTAAACAGACACTAGTAGCTTCCTCCACTATGGCAGCAGAATTTGTAGCTTGCTATGAGGTATCCAATCAGGGAATATGGCTGCGAAATTTTATCACGGGACTGCGTATTTTTGAAAATGTTGAAAGACCACTAAGGTTATATTCAATGTTTTAAATATCGGATGTCGGGTTCATGTCGGATGGCTGAAATCCATGTCGGATAGCGAAAATCGGAGATATATCGGGGGACATTAACTAAATATCGGATTGCCATATCGGGTAGTGTGCATATGTATAATATCATGTCCTAAATATAATCTAAGCATTCATAAATTCAATATAAGCATACTTTATAAATTCTATAGACTAAACATATAAAAAAGTAAATAATATATGAATTTGGGTTCATAAATTCTTTCTATCGGGTTCATAAGAAACCCTTAAACATGAGAACGGGTCAAACGGGTTTGAGTATTTATCACTAAACCCAAATCAGATAACAAAAAACAGCTCTAAAAAAAAAGTATCATATCGGTTGATTTTTCAAAGCTAAAAAATAGGCCGATATGCCCGATATGACCCTGATATTTTCGATTTGGTCTTAAAAACCGACATACGAGTTGAAAACGTTCATGTCGTGTCGGTCAAGCCCTCAAACCGATATGTCGGTCGACATGTCGGACATGTCGGCCGACATTTAAAACCTTGGTTATATTGTGACAATAAATCTGCAGTAATGTATTCTAATAACAACAGGAGCTCAATTAAGTCAAAACATATTGACATTAAGTTCCTGGTTGTGAAAAAAAGGGTACAAAGTGGACAGATATCCATAGAGCACATTGGGACAAACTCCATAATAGCTGATCCTCTTACTAAAGGATTGCCACCTAAGGTCTTTCATGAGCATACTGCTCATATGGGTGTGGTATTATTTGATGATATTATGTTTTAGTGGGAGTTTGTACTTGTGGTGCTTTATGTTTGGTTGTATTGTCTGATCAGAATAAAGTATTCAGTTAAGACACTCTGTTACATTATGTTTGGTTTTGACCTCACTAAGGAGGACCAGTTGAAAATAGACATGTACTGATCACATTGCATGTAATTTTCATGCTGCACATCCATGATTGATCTATGTCATTTGATTGTATTGGTATATGTGACCATTGATGGGTCGAGTCACGATAAATGTGACGAATGCCGCTTTGATCCTATATTGATATAGTCAATGGACGAGATTGTTCGGAAATACCTTTTCAGTGATAGCAATTTTTGAGCTCATAAGGTTATACACAATTTAAGGAATCATATGGTGCCTAAGTGGGAGAGTGTTAGATTTAATCTAATAAATCTATTTGTGGGCACATATAATTAATCAATGTGTATTGCTATCTTTCAGGATAACCCACTAAAGTGATCAATTAAGTTGGGTTAATGTGTATTTAAATATAATCATGGGGTCATATGTGCAGATACCAGGTTGTAATTGTAATTTATTGAGGGGCTAAATTACAAAAGTACAACATCTATAAATAAGGGGTTATGGTCCCTAACCTAGGGTTACATTCTCTAATTCTCTACACCCCCATCTAGCTAGAGAAATTCGGATTTAGAGAAACCCTAAGGTTAGAAGATCTAAAACTCATCTCAATGTTCATCCATGGATTCAGGTATAAGCTTCCGCTCTTTTGATTATTGTTAATCTCTTTGAATTAATCATGGCTATATGGTTTTGATATCAAGTTTTGGTTTAAATCTAACAAAATAATCAACTTTATTCACAATTATCCCCTATGTATGCAATCTATACCATCTCAGCTATACTTTGCACATATTCCACATAAGAGAGAGATATCATTTATTGCAAGTCGTAGAAAAGGATAAAGGTAATAATAGATCAAGGAATGCTCACATATCTAGACATTCCAAACTATAATTTAACAAGAAGCCACACAGTAAAAGATTTCCTGTCATTGGCAGTGCCCATTCCTGCCACTAAACAAGACCTACAAATTTTCATGACTATATGGGAACTCGCATATGAACATGATGCAGAAAGAAATATTCCCTGCAGATCAACCAATACTATGGCATTACCTTAAAAAAGACCATGGCGCTTCAAATTCCATCAAACAGGCTCCATTTGTAAATCTAAATATAAGAATTTCATCTAATTCCAAAACACACAACTTCTTTTCTCAATTTACGAACTAACCAGACTCGAAGGTTTCATTTTTAGGGTTTAGGATTTCAGAATTGAGTAGCCTTGAGGCTCACCAACAGTCTAAATGATATCTCCACAATACCTAATCAGTAAAAGGACATGATGCTTCAATTCCATCAACCATAATCAATTAATTCGATCTAAATATATAAAAATCAGAAACTAGGGTTACATTTTTTTAGGGTTTAAAGATTAGGGTTTAGGGTTATTACTTGTTGAGGCCTTGGAGGGCGATCTTATTACCGAACTGGATGTGGCGGCCCGCGAAAATCCCGCGCTTGGCTCGATTCATCACGATCTTCGTGTTTGGTATCATCTTCTTCACTGATTCCATCACTTGAGATGGCATCGAATCAGCTCCAGCTTTCTTCGCGATCTTGTTGTACATTTCTCGAGCCCTAAATGACATTTTTTNATCACGGCCCTTCAAGTTTGTATAGGATCTTTTTGCATAACCCTTTAAAAAGGTCCTAATTTTATGTTCACTCCCTTAGAGCATGCAAATTTTGTTTTGGCCCCAAATCTTTGGAGTTATTTTCACCCGAAACGCGTTCATACTCCGACCCGTTAAAAGCCGCAAACCCCCAAAAACCCCAAAATTCCCATGTCGGAGAAGTCAAATGGAGCTCCGAGAGCGCGCCCAGTCCGGGACACGGCCCATTAGCGATGAACGGGGCAAATAATTGAGCTTGCCGTTGGGAGATCTTACCGGTGGAGAGCGGATCCGAGCCTCCTCTGTTTAGAGAAGTCTTTTGAACGGTGATGGTACTATCCTTAGACAAAATGATTAATCATATATAAAATGTTTATTTTTTTCCTCTTTTCCCCTATATTTTGGTTGATTATGAGAAAAAGGTTGAGTCTTTTGGATGATGGTGCCTTATAGAGATAACTCGTGGACTTCTGCTGTTCTCTGGGGAGAAAATAATTGAGCCATTGATATTATTTTGATTCTGTTACTTTTTCTTATTTCTGGAAAGCGCAACATTTCTGGAAAGTGTTTTCATTAGCTTAGATAGTGACATTTTAAAAAGATCCCAGCTCATGAAAGATGGTTTTCTAGCCATTTTCCTACAAATTGCAGTGTCTTCAACGTAGACTAATATAAAATAATTCAAATATTTACCGTAACTTGTATGTAACAAAAGTTTGAATTGCGTTGAGCAAGTTCTAATTAAGATCGTATTCGGCTTTGATTCATTTTGAAGACATAACCACAAGCATTGTGATCGTCAGAAATACATTTTCACGGATTTAAACTGCAGATGATGAGAGACGGATTGTCAAAGACCCGAAATGATGATCAATCAAGTTTGTGATATTGTTTAAGTCCAGAGATCGTTTTTCTGAGAAAGTGTTGTTAGATATAGTGGCAAATTTGCTGCAGAACTTGGTCTCGATATGTTTGGAGGATTTCAGAATAATATGGAACCTCTCCGTTCAGTGTACCCTTTTGTTTGACTGCTTTTGGTTCTAGAGTCCTTCGATAAAGGGAGAGAACTTTCCACATTATATTTGAAGTACTAGGATGATGCCAAATGTTATGAATGATGAACGGCTGATCAGATCAGTGCTTCTGGATGCTTTACTTTTGATAGAGAAAAGGGAGAGGGAAAAAAAAAAAGCATTGCGCCTTTCGGTGCGCCCCTATGGAAAGCTTTGCTTACAGTGTGTAGAATACACGTCTTGGTGCTTTCTAGAAAGCTTCTAAAGAAAAAACTTACTGAATTGAGTATTATTTGCCTTCTTCTGCGGCTGCCTAAGCAAGACAAAAGTTATAGAGTGGTTGATGTTATTTTACTGGTTTCTTGAATCTTGATACATTTAAACAGAATGGGATTAGAAGTTTGTGTCTTCTCTTATGTGCATCTATTTTGTATATTCTCATATGTGCATCTATTTAGTTCACTTGCAGCATTTTTCCTATATTCTCGTCTGTCTCTTAGTGTATATCAATTTTTCCACTTCAGTGTGCTTTCAATCATTTAATTGTAATTGATGTTTCTTTCTATGTGGTTCTCGCATTTTGCACTAATTATTGATTGATTAGTTTGAAAAAACATTCACTGTAGAAAAACTGCAGACCATTGTCCATATTCACCAATGTTTTAAAAGAGATGCAAATATGACACTTGCTATATCATAGGATTTTCACCCTCATTTCCAAAAATGAAAATCATATTTGGTTATATTGACCCTATTTCCCAACAGATGTACATGAATCATGTATCAAGATGAGAAAGAATAATTATATGATACATATATTAACTGTTTAGGTGTCTTTATCAACTATGGAATCCTGTAGTTTCCTCATGTTAGTTTACAATATAAATCTCCTTTGTCGACATGAGTTGTGCACTGTTATTTCCCATCATAAGTCTGCATTATTTCCTTGGTTATGTGTCCGTATGATTTGCGTGGATATGCGCCATCCAGAGTGCTGTTATAAAAGCTTGAGATTCTATCCTGATTACACCAAAGTTGGCCTGGCTCTTATGGTTATAAACTAAATGGTGTACCTGACTAAAGTTAGAATCATAGAATACATTCTACGATCTGTATGTATGTTAAGTCTGTAGATCATTTTCAATCAAATATGGTATTCTCTACTCTCCTTCTGTTAGAATAACATTACATTATAAGTCTATTATTGTTATCACTCATACACATTCAGATTCTTTAGGCTCCACACCAGAAATATTCTTTGGGATTTTAATCTCGAGAAAAATTTCATTATCAATGTATGCCTCTATCCTCCTCCAATTAGCATCACCTGGTAGCTCTAGGCGCCTCACAAACCCGTGCTCCCACCAGTGGCCTGTCCTCCAGTCTCTAACATTGGATTCTCTGCTCTTCCACTGCCCGCTGATCTCAAGCACCTTTTCCTTCTCGGCACATACCTCAATTTCAATTTTCCTCGCACCTACTTAAAAACCATGAAGGTGTTAGGATCTACTGGTCTTTTCCTTCTTATGTTGTATTATGAATATCATATTTCATATAGCAGCACTCTACAAGGAACAAGCAGAAATTAGTTCATGTTCTGCTCTGTTATAAATTTACTATTATGCCTGACCTATGTTAAATGTCAAAACTGATATTCAGCGTGTTAGTTAAAAAGAATAGCCAAGGAAATGCTCGAAATTCAGCGTGTTAGTTAAAAAGAATAGCCAAGGAAATGCTCGAAATTACTGAAAATTTTTGGCATTTATCACCATGGATTCTTACGTTGAAAGGTATTTCAAGGAATTGTAGACAATTACATCATTGATATTTACATACCAAACAGGTCTGGCCTTATATGATCTTTTGAGGGATCTGGCCTTATATGTAGCTCACTATAAAAAGAGAATTACATATTTGAAATTTGAATTAGTAGATTTTTCATGGGCTCTAGCCTTTAGGTATGCAATTTAGATGAAATATGTGCATGGTAAATAATGCAAATGAAGCATCTTGATCCTCAATAGATGGTTTTGAATCATGCATAGAAGTGAGAAAAAAGCAGATGCGAGATTGATTATGATGGTTGAACTAAAAGCATAAAACTATTTTAATCTTACAATGGTAATTTTACGGATTCCAAATTCACATAGTACAAATTTCACTTGTAGGAAGCCTGGAAATTAGTCATGAACAGAGGCATCTGGAAATTCAAATTATAGAGAGCACACAGCTAGACTTTAGAGGGACAAACAGACATGTAGTCCATATCCTTAAATCATTAATTAGGAAAGTAACTCAGATAAGTCTGAAACATCCAAGAGAAAAAGCATATGAAACAAAGTTCTGATAAAAGAGAACCATGATGATAAAAGATAACTGAGTAATCATATGAAATAACTAGAAAAAAGATGTAATTTCTTCTTATTTGTTTAACCAAATGAAACAGAAGAACAAAAAAGTACCTGGAAGTTCAGCTCTTACAACGTACTCAACATCTGTTTCCACCCAATCAACACTAGTCTTGGAAGCACTCCGAAGTCCTGAGAGCAGTGCTTCCGATTCAAATTCCCACAAAGGAAAGGCATCAGCAGGATCAAAGAACTTCCCAAACAATAGCGGACTAAAAAATGACCCCTCACCGAAAACTCTTTTTACAGGATCGCCACCATGATTGATGAACGTGCTGAAGGCATCTTCAGTGAGCGAGACACGCCATTTCTGTGAATTTTGATCATCTAATTGCACTTCCAGCACCCTTCGGGGTGTCATTGCTGGGCAATGGCAAAGAGAGCTGGCCATAGGGGATTCTACTTTATAGCAAAGAGAGGATGAGGATGCCTTTAGCTAAAGAAGAGGACATATTCCTTTTGAATTGCTTTAGAGAATATTTCTTTCTCTGTGCCTTGTTTCATAGTGGACTCTGGTGTAATAATGGTCCACTTCCTTCTAGTCTTTCCTGTATCAGTATAATATAACCATCAAAAATTCACAGGATAACTTTGATATTGATTCAAGCAAACTACAGATTAAGAGTAAGTATATATCAGTTAAAATTTCTTAAACAAGGATGGTTGTTTATCACAGTAAAAAGTTTCGTTCACATTTACGCCAAAAACTAGCTGAATGGTGGTCATCTTTAGTTGCTTATTTGTTGAATTAACTTCTGAATGTTGTTTTGGCTACAGAAGAAATAGAAGAATAGATTGCAAAAGGAGGATTCTTCCTTTCACGAAGAAGGATGGGATAAGATTATAATGAATTGAAAACTCTAATCTTATTATGAAATCTCTTGGGCTTATATAGGCCCCTTCATACAAACTTACAAATAGCCCCCTTCATATTATTAATATGTCAACACTCCTCCTCAAGATGGGCGAAAGATATCCACTAAGCTCATCTTGTCACATCCTCTAACACTCCTCCTCAAGATGGGCGAAAGATATCCACTAAGCTCATCTTGTCACATCCTCTAATCATATCTACCGAGCTAAGTCCCTTAGTCAGACAGGATATCCACTAAGCTCATCTTGTCACATCCTCTAATCATATCTACCGAGCTAAGTCCCTTAGTCAGACAGTCTGCTGCCTGATCCTTAGTTGGAACATGACTTAACTCTAGTAGTCTACTGCCCAACTTCTCTTTGATGAAGAACCTATCGATCTCGATGTGTTTGGTTCTATCATGTTGTACTGGGTTGTTGGCAATACTGATGGCTGACTTGTTGTCACACCACAGCTTCATCTTGGCTCCTTGATCTAGCTTCAGCTCCACCAGCATACTCTTCAGCCACAGCAACTTCGCAACTCCCAAGGTCATAGCTCTATACTCTGCCTCAGCTGTCGATCTCGTCACCACTGACTGTTTCTTGCTCTTCCACGAGACCAAGTTGCCTTCTATAAATATGCAGTATCCTGAGGTGGACCTCCTGTAATCAGCACAGCTAGCCCAATCAGAGTCGTAGTAACCCTCAATGCTCACATGTTTATTTTTTCTGAATATCAGTCCTTTTCCGGGGGTACTCTTCAAATACCTCAGAATCTGGTACACTACGTCCATATGACCCTTCCTCGGATCATGCATGTAGCGACTCACCACGCTCACTGCAAAAGAGATATCGGGACATGTGTGACTCAAATAGATCAACCTGTCCATCAAGCTCTGGTATCTGTCACGATCAACTGATTCTCTAGCCTCAGCACCCAGTTTGAACTTTTGATCGATCGGTGTAGTTGCAGGTTTGCACCCTAATATCGCTGTCTCTTTGAGAAGATCCATTGCATACTTTCTTTGGGAAAGGACAATCCCCTCCGCTCCTCAAGCTATCTCTATTCCAAAAAAGTATCAAAGCAAGCCAAGATCTTTCACCTCGATTTCCTTACCCAATTTTACTTTGAGTTGGGCAATCTCCTTCTCATCATCCCCTGTAATAATCATATCATCCACATATACCACAAGCATGGTAATGTGACCTCCATTCCGTCGAAAGAACACGGTATGATCGACGTTAATCTGTTGGTACCACATACCTATCATAGCCCTCCTGAATCTGTCGAACCAAGCACGGGGAGGTTGCTTCAGCCCATAGAAAGATTTTTTCAATCTGCAGACCTTGCCTACTGTTTGATCTGTGTCGAATCCTGATGGTATCTCCATGTATACCTCTTCCACCAGATCTCCATGAAAAAATACATTCTTCACATCTAGTTAGTATAGCTTCCATCCACTATTTACTATCAGAGAGATCAAGGTCCGAACAGTGCTCATCTTCGCCACCGGTACAAAAGTCTCATAATAGTCGATACCATATGTCTGACTATATCCTTTTGTCACCAGACGAGCCTTGTAATGCTCAACTTGTTTATCTGGATTCTGCTTTATAGTAAAGACCCACTTGTATCAAACTGCTCTCTTCCCTTCTGGTAGTTTTACTAACTCTCAAGTGTGGTTCTTCTCAAGAGCCCCTAGCTCCTCGTGCATAACCGTTTTTTACTTTGGGTCCTTCTTAGCAACCTGCCAATTGTTAGGTACAGTAACAGAGTCCAATGATGCAATGAATGCTTCATGTGCAGTAGAGATGTTAGAATATGATACAAACTGGACAAGATCCTAATCATATCTATCTAGAGGATTTCTCGCATTGCTACGAGTAGTCCTCCGTACTGACATTGGTGTGGGAGGAGTAAGGAGAGGAATGATATCACATTAAGAGGAATCTGGTGGTGGTGTAGGTGTCTCAGGAGTCGGGACAAGCGTTGGCAAGGGACTTGGCATCAGTGACACTATAGGTATTATTCCTGCAATCTACTTCCTCTTCCTACTATAAGTAAGTAGCTCCCCCTAAACCGTAGGCCTAATACCTCTTGTCTCCTTCTCTTCTTCTTCTTCATTCTCCTGCTCCTCAACCAGTTCTTCCTCCCAAGGAATCAATAGAGAAATTGATTTCTCGGCATTATTCACATTGTTCACCTGCCTCTCATCATTCTCCCCCTCTCGCCTTATACTTTAAGTATCGGGCGAGTTACTAACGGATGAAGTTACCTCCCGGGTGTAATATGGCTCGAGTTCTCGAAAGTGCACATCCATGCTCACAAACAACCTCTTCTCCACCGGGCTCCAGCAAACATATCCCTTCTTTAGTAGCAGAATATCTCATAAAGATGCACTTCACCGCACTGTTTTAAATATCGGCCGATAATCGATATTATCGGCCGAGTTATCGGATTTGGGAGCTCTCCGATAGGATAACTTGGATTTTTAATCGGTTATCGTTTTTGGCAAGTTATCGGGGAGTTATCGGCGTTATCGGTACTTATCGGCCGATAAGGTTTTTTTATCGGGATTATCGGCCGATAAGTAAGGCTATGCAATCGAATAGTTTCATCGTGCAGTCAAGATGCAAGTTTTGCTTTCTATAATTGGTTAGTGATTCTAAACATGATGATTTACATTTTGGTATGTTTATATTTCATTAAGCATGGTTAGATTACATTTTTTAGTTATTATATTATATATATACACCATCTAGTATATCACTCCGATAAATACTACTTATCCCCGATATATCCCCGATTTCCGCTATCCGATAAGAATTTTGGCCGTCCGATAAATTCCCGATAACCGATATTTAAAACCTTGCTTCACCGCTCTAGGGGCAAGCTTCCCGACGGATGATATGTTGTCCTTCACAAAGCACACACAGCTAAACACCTTTAGTGGAAGCATCCTACCATTATCTCCCCTCAACGTCTCACACGGAGACTTCCAATCTAGCACTCTAGAGGGTAATCTGTTGATCAGCTGAGCTACGGTCAACACTGCTTGCTCCCATAATGTTTCTGGGACATTCATGGAGATCATCATGCTTCTAGCAACCTCTAAAAGATGTCTGTTCTTCCTTTCTGCTATCCCATTCTGAGCTGCTGTGTATGAACATGTAGTTTGATGCTGTATTCCCTGAGCTGATAAGTATTCCTCAAGCGCTCTGTTGGTATACTCTGTCCTATTATCAGACCTTAATACATTCACCACTGCTCTGTATTAAGTCGGAACATACCTATAAAAGTTTTAGAAGCAACCAAACACTTCACTCTTATTTTTCATCAAGTATAACCAAGCAACGCGAGAGAAACAATTAATGAAGGTAACAAAATACTTGTATCCATTCATAGAGCTTGTGGAACAAGGCCCCCAAATATCTGAATGTATTAGGTCAAATACATGAGAACTCCTATGATCAGAACTAACATAAGAGCTTCTAGTAAACTTTCCAAACTCACATGCATCGCACACAAGTTTCTGTTTATTTGCTTTCTCAAATAAAGATGGATACAACCTACTTAAAACACTAAAGGATGAGTATCCCAAGCGCTAGTGATGAAGCATCAATATACTCTCAGCACTCATCTCAGATCCTACTCATGCTCTCTCTACCATTGACACCAATGTTGAATCCATCCCTTCACGATCCAGGTATCACAGTCCACTACTCCATGTGCCAGTTCCAAGTCTTCGTCATGTCCCCTTTTCCTGGAAGATCACCTTGGGAATGTCAAAAGAAACAATGTATTTTAGTTGGAGTATGATAGCACTAATGGACAAAAGATTAACTAGAAAGGAATGAGCATGTAAAACATTGGACAAAGTTACAGAACCTGTATAATTGACTGTACCCTTACCAATTACTGGTTAAAATATACCATCAGCTGTTTGGATACTATCAGCTGATGCTAGGTGAGTATATGATGAGAACTCACTAACATTACCTGTCACATGTCGAGACGCACCGGAGTCGACTATCCATTCTGATGATCTATCGGGCGACATAGAAGCAAGAGCATGTCTGTCATCAGTATCTTTGGTTGGATGAGCATAAGTAGCAGTGTTGCCTCTAGCGAAGAACGAATTGGATGCCTCCTCAGTCCCACTCCTCATGTCTCCATCTCCTGCTACTCTCTGTTTTCTCCTGAGTATCTCCAGGAGTGCATGATCCTCCTCAGTAAAGACCACATCAGCCGCTTCCTCTCCCTCTGCTACCATCAGATTTGCTCGGTTGCTTGCTCCTCTTCCACCTCGTTGACCCCCACGGTCACGACCACGACCTCCGAACTGTCCACGTCCACCCGAATCTCCTTCCTTGGGTGGCTTGGTGCAAGCATGCCTTAAATGACCCACTTCACCGCAGTTGTAGTACTGTCGAGTTTCCCCTTTGGATCCAGTGTTCACAGAGTTGGAGGCTACCAGTGTTGACTTTACCAGTGGAAGTCCACATGTCCCAGCCTGTAACCTAATACGAGTCTCTTCCTGGATCATGGCCGAGATTGCCTCCTCAAGCGTGGGAATCTTCGGTTGCGCTAGCAGCAATGCAATCCTCTGAGCAAACTCTGATGCCAGTCCCTTGAGAAACATCATAGTCCTTTCCTGTAAAAAGACCTCTCGTTCCTTGCACTCTAGGTCCTTGCAACTCGCCCGAGGTAAGAAGTGATCATAATCTAGCCACAGTCGCTCCAACTCTGTGGCATACTCCTATACAGTCCTCTCTCCCTAGACTGTAGCGTCGATCTCTCCCTTGATCTGGAACACCCTCAGGTTATTCCCCACCCCATCATAGGTCCTCCTCAAATTCTCCCAGACATCCTTCACCTTCCCGATGCTATCTATTGTGGCGGCGATCGACTGGACCAAAGAGTTGAGAAGCCAGATGTATACCAACATATGAGTGGACTTCCACTCATCTCTTCCTGTCGAGCCCTCAGTCGGCTCTGTCTTTTCTCCTGTCAAGTACCCCTCCAGGTTCCTCCCTGTAAGGGTGTATCTCACCCGTCGTGACCAACTCAGGTAAGTAGCTGGTCCATCAAGCTTCAGATCGATGTGTGGAAGCTCCAACTTTACCGGTGGCCTTGTCGCGCTCTCACCAGCCGACAACTTCATCAGCTGCATCAAACTTGAGACCTCCGCGGGGTTCAACTTCTTAATGATCTTCTCCATCGATCAAGCTCTAGATCAAACACTTGTTGTGCACAGTAAAAATTTCGGCAGTACTTCTGTTGTACAACAAGAGTAAGATCTCAACTAAATCTTTGTTTCTCAAAGAAAACAAGAATCGAAAGTGATATATCTCAACAACGTGAGATATACACTCTTCCTCTCATCAGTTCTAGGACTGAAATGTCGAGGGAATCTAACAAGCTACACACCCAGATCTGGATCTTCCACATCACGGCAAGATCCTTTCTGACAAAATCAGCAGCGGGACCCACGGCGG